TTCACTGGAACACCTCAGCAAGCAAGAGTCCAAAAGTGGCAGGCTCAAACCCAGAACCTCAATCAATGGCTGATACCAAATGAGAGACTCCCTCCTGGGCACACAGAAGACTGGGCAACTTGGAAGGCACTGAACAGACTGCACTCTGGCACCACGAGATGCAGAGCCAACCTTAAGAAATGGGGCTACAAAGTGGAATCCATGACATGTGAGTGTGGAGAAGAGCAAACTACAGACCATCTGCTGCAATGCAACCTGAGCCCTGCTACATGCACAATGGAGGACCTTCTTGCGGCAACACCAGAGACACTCCAAGTGGTCAGATACTGGTCAAAGGACATTTAATCAACTACCAAGCTTGCAAACTTTGTGTTTTTTGTTTGTTTTTAATGCAATACAACTGTTTTGGTTCTCTCCTGACACAATAAATAAATAAATAAATAAATAAATAAATAAATAAATAAACATAACAAGAAAGAAAGAACTTTTGTTATCTCCCAGGACAATGATTCTAATCCCACATTGCTTTTCAGCCACTATGTATTACAAATATGCCTCGATTTAACACAAAATTAACAATTCAGTGCACAACCTCTGATCAGAGTTGCAGTAATGACAAGCACCGTCTTTCTGATATGGTTGTATCTTCACAGATAGATTTTGACACACACATATCAACAGCCAAAAACAAAATCATCACCTTTCACACTGAGCTGACAGCTGCGGAAAACGCTGTCTTGTCAAAAGGTCTCGTAAATCAAATTCCAGTGTCACTATAAAGTTGGCAAGAGAAAGCTGGCTGATTGATGGAATCTTATCTATCTATACACACAAAAAAGCTCTTTCCTGACACTCAGCCAGGATCTAACGTGACCAAGAAAAAGATGTCAAGGTAGTGTTTTTCCACCAAAGGTTTTCAATGACCAACACCATCATGGACAACCAACACATCCCTTATTGCGTTTAAAAGCTTTGGCAAATGCATATAAGTGCTGCACTCATTTATCAAACATATTGTACTATAGTTGAATTTATAGCAGAATTTTGTTTGCAAATGGTTGAACAATTTTATACTTGAGCTTGCAATATTCATTTAGAAGATGTCGTCATAAAACTCCCCAAAAGTGGTACATAGTCACTGATCTGAATGGCATTTAAATGCATAAGTGATGGAACCTGTAGTAGCAGTGTATGATTCACTAAGATTGCATCTATAGTGTCAAACTAATTCAGTTTGACACGACTTCAACTGCCACAGCTCAGTGGAATCCTGGGAGCTGTAGTTTTGCAAGGTCTTTAGTCTTCTCTGTCAAAGAGTGTTTGTACCCCACCAAACTACGACTCCCAAGATTCTGTAGCACTGAGTCATGGTAGTAAAAATGGTGTCAAACTGCATCAATTCGACAGTGTAGATGCACCATCAGAGTCCTACAGAAAGATGTTAACTTTTTGGTTTACTGGATAAAAGGAGTTTTGTGTGTGTGTGTGCAACATTGATTGTACTGTCACGTGCTGGGACTATAGCAGTTGGGTTTAGAACAGGATGTGTTCTTTGTGCCCAGTGGAAAGCCGGGGTGCCTCAGCTGAGAGGCCCTAAGGATTTTCCTATACAAAGTCTTTAGAAGCTTGAAAAGTTTAACAAGATCCTTTATTATTGCTTAGGTCTTCAACAAAACAAATACTTCTCAGATCTTAAACAAGTCAAACAAATACTTCAAGGCTTTGAATCAACTGGTGGCTTTCTTAATCTTGTCCACAAGGGACAGGTAACTGGCTTTGTCAACTGTTTCTTTTCTTTAAGAGGAAAACCCTTTTTAACCCCTCCTTGGGCAATCTATTTTCTAAACTTTGCTGGTGTGGGCTCTACTCCCAGCTCCAAACTGCTTCTTGGGTCCCGAGTAGACCTACCAGTCAAAGCTTTGTAGATTCTCCAGCTGGAGTCCTTTGGAACTGTTTCCCCCCGGAATTTTGTAAGAAACGAAGCTTCTCTACAGGTGGAGTTGATTCACGTCCTGTAGCTAAGCTTTCAACTGTAAGACTGAGCCAAAATGGCTCCCTTTCCTTCCTGAACCCTGGGGAAAGGGGCGGAACTGAAAAACCCAATGATGATAGGCAGGTGACTGCAAACCAAGGTAAGCCACCTTATTCCAAAATGCATGGAACTTTGGAATACATGCAAATACTCAAAGAAAGAAAAGGAAATTGGAGCTCCTGGTACAGCCGTACCAGCACATCGATGATGCATACTTTGTTTTTTAACACAATTGTGAGGTCAGGAGTATTGTGCTCCAAAATTCTGTCTGTCTGAATTTGGAAGTCCCAGAGTAGTTTGACATGTTTATTTTCTGTAACTTGAGATCCCACTAGTTCTTTGTCACAGGCACATGGTGTTTGTAGCACAAGTTCCAAAAAATCATCTCTGCAACGGTGTTACGCCTCTGCTTATAGTCTGTCTGTGTGATCTTCTTGCAGCAGCTGAGGATGTGATCTATTGTTTCATCTGCTTCCTTGCAGAGTCTACACTTGGGATCTGTCATTGACTTCTCAATTCTGGCTTTGATGGTATTTGTTCTATTATTATTATTATTATTATTATTATTATGTGTCAAGAGCAACTTGAGAAACTGCAAGTCACTTCTCATCTGAGCAAATTGGCCATCTGCAAGGATGTTGCCCAGAGATGCCTGGATGTTTTGATGTGGGAGGTTTCTCTCATGTCTTTGCATGGGGAGCTGTAGCTGACAGAGGGAGCTCAACCTGCTCTCTCCGGATTCAAACCACTGGCTCGTCAGTCAGCGTTCTGCTGGCACAAGGATGTAACCAATTGCACTATTGAAGACTCCTAACTGGATACAAGTCATTTAAGTTTCAAAACCAGAACTTTCAAATGGGTTCAGCAACAAACTAGAAGACCATGAGGTTTGTTCAGGACCTATTTCCAATCAAATGAAAAGGAGAAAGAAAGACCCCAATCTCCCTAATTTTCCGCAGTTGGAATGCCCTTAGATACACCTTCAGTCCTCGGGTTTCCCAAGCAACATTTTGCCTCCACTTCACAAATAATAGGGAATGGATATTTGAGCAAGTTGAGTTCTCTCCTTTCAGAAAGCTCATTAGAATTCCGGTCTTCACATCAGAGCTGACAGTGGTCTCTTTCCCTTCATTTCTTTAATTAGTACTGTCATTTTTAATATGCCAAGGAGGAAAAGAATGAGGCTTCCCACTTCTCCCTCCCTCCTCTCTTCCCATCCAGATTAACAGGACTCCTTTTTCTCTAACAGGTTTCTCCCCCTGAAAGGTTTAATGTGACTCATTTGTAAAGTTGGCAGTGGCTGATGGAGATGTGCTTCTACAGTGACACAAAAACGCAGCTACTTCTGCAAAAGTAATGTGTGTTTTTAAAACAGAGAGGAAACTAGTTAAAACTGCAGTTCCAAACCCTCTCTAAAATAGTTAGTTGCCATCCTAATTTGAGTTTACTTTATAATTGCTTGCAAAAAATAAATGCAATAGAAATGTTATACTTTTCTCAAAGAGAAAATTAGAAAGCTACAAGCCATGGATCTGTGGCATGAAACATATAGTGCTAAACCTAAGAGTAACTGAACTAGTTTACTTACTTACTTAGACGATTCCTCGTTGTCTGAGAGGGATTGTCTTCCAAGATCAGGGTATTGTCAGTGGGTACGTAGGTGACTGTGGAGCCCTATTCTTGATCTGCATTTTCTCCCACAGCGAGGGCATTGGTTTCCAGGTGGAAGGCGGACACGGTCAGGGTTGGCTTGACTCGCCTTCCTCTTGACATGTTTCTCTCTTTCACCCTCCATTCGTGCCTCTTCAAATTCTACAGCACTGCTGGTCACAGCTGACCTCCAGCTGGAGCGCTCAAGGGCTTCCCAGTTCTCAGTGTCTTTGCCAGAGTTTTAAAGGTTGGCTTTGAGCCCATCTTTCAATTGCTTTTCCTGTCCTCCAACATTCCATTTTCCATTTTTGAATTTGGAGTAGAGCAACTGCTTTGGGAGACGGTGGTCGGGCATCCGGACAACATGGCCAGTCCAGAGGAGTTGATAGCAGAGGACCATCACTTCAATGCTGGTGGTCTTTGCTTCTTCCAGCATGCTGACATTTGTCCGCCTGTCTTCCCAAGATATTTGCAGGATTTTCCAGAGGCAGCAGTGATGGAATCATTCCAGGAGTTGCATGTGACGTCTGTAGACAGTCCACGTCTCGCAGGCGTATAGCAGGGTTGGGAGGACAATAGCTTTATTAACAAGCACCTTGGTATCCCTACGGATGTCCCGGTCCTCAACCACTCTCTGCTTCATTCAGAAAAATGCTGCACTCGCAGAGCTCAGGTGGTGTTGCATTGAACTAGTTACAATTCATTTAAATAATGTTGAGTTACTCTTTATTATGTTATAACTTCATTATTGAAAAAAGTAACTCATAATAGGTGGAGCATAGCTAGACACTGTAATGGTTTCAGACCTGAACTATGACTTTGAGGACCAAATTTTGAAATCCTGCTTGACTTGGAAACCAGTTGAGTGATTTTGGGCAAGTCACTCTCTCTCAGCCTTAGATGATAGCAATGGCAAACCTCTTCTGAACAAATATTCCCAAGGAAACTCTGTGGTAAGATCAGCTTAAGGCAGTGGTTCCCAACCTGTGGTCTGTGGACCACCAGTGGTCCCCAAGAACTAAAATATGGTCTGTGGTCTCATCGTTTCTACACCGTTGCAACTACTGGATGGTATATGTTCCTTTCTGGGGTACTTTCTGGAGTACTACAATTCCCATAATCCCCTGGCCAACTTGGGAGTTCTAGTTTCCTACAAAGCAAACTTTCGAAGCTCTGCTCAGATGGCTCCAGGAAGAGAGATGGTCCTGGTTCTGTCATGTTGGAAAGCAAACTATATCATCAGTTCTTGGCTTTTGATGCCTTTATTTTTTGTTTTCCCTTCAGCTGCCCTTCAGAAACTAGAGCTGATGTGGTCTATCCAATGCAATATTCTGAATCAGCACCCTAAATAACCAAACCTAATCTAAAGTTGACCAAAATATGATTCGTAATTTTTTTGATACTAATGTTGGAGAGTGGTCCCTGGTCACAGTGGTTCCTTCCTGGACAAGTCCCTGGTCAAGTGGTCCCTGGCCAAGTGGTCCCTGGTCAAAGTGGATCCTGGTAAAAAAAAAAAGGTTGGAAGCTATTGGTTTAGGGTATCCATAAATTGGAAATATCTTGAATGCACAATGCAACAACAGTAAGTTCATTTAATGAGTTTCCATGCCTACTGTGTTCTTTTTATTGTTGTTAGCTGTCTTGGACTTCTTAAAGGGGGAGGAAAAGGAGGAGAAGGAGAGGAGGAGGAAGAGAGGAGAAGAGGAGGAGGAGGAACAGGAAGAGGAAAAGGAGGAGAAAGGGTAGGTAGAGAAGGAAGGAAAGAAAAGAAGAAGAAGAGGAAGAGGAGGAGGAGGAAGAAGAAGAGAGATAATGGAGAGAATCTGAATCCTTTGTGTCCTGGTATATACTAGTCCAATGCCAGGAGAAGGAGGTGGAGAGGAGGAGGAAGAGAAGGAGGATAGGAGGAGGAGAAGGAGAGGAGGAAGAAGAGGAAGAGGATGAGGAGGATGAGAAAGAGAGGAGGAGGAGAGGAGGAGGATGAAGAGAAGGATAATGAGAGGAGGGACAGGACGAGGAGGAGGAGGAGGAGAGGAGGAGGAGAGGAGGAGGAAGAGAAGGAGAAGGGGAGGAGGAGGAAAAGGAAAGGAGAGAAGGGGAGGTAGAAGAGGAAGGAGGAGAAGGAGAGGAGGAAGAAGAGGAAGAGGATGAGGAGGATGAGAAAGAGAGGAGGAGGAGAGGAGGAGGATGAAGAGAAGGATAATGAGAGGAGGGACAGGACGAGGAGGAGGAGAGGAGGAGGAGGAGGAGAGGAGGAGGAAGAGAAGGAGAAGGGGGGAGGAGGAAAAGGAGAAGGAGAGAAGGGAGTAGAAGAGGAAGGAGGGGCAGGGAGAAAAAGAGGAGGAGGATGAAGAGAAGGATAATGAGAGGAGGGACAGGATGAGGAGGATGGGGAGGAGGAGGAGGAGGAGGAGGAGGGGAGGAGGAGGAAGAGAAAGAGGAGGTGGAGGTGGTGGAGGTGGAGGAGGAGGAGGAGAGGAGGAGGAAGAAAAGGAGAAGGAGAAGGGGAGGAGGAGGAAAAGGAGAAGGAGAGAAGGGGAGGTAGAAGAGGAAGGAGGGGCAGGAAGAAAAGAAGAAGGAGGAGGAGGAAGAGAAAGAGGAGGTGGAGGTAGAGGAGGAGGAGGAGAAGGGGAGTAGGAGGAAAAGAAAAAGGAGAAGGAGAGAAGGGGAGGTAGAAGAGGAAAGAGGGGCAGGAAGAAAAGAAGAAGAAGAAGAGGAGGAGGAGGAGGAGAGAGAATGTATAGGATCTGAATTCTTTGTGTTTTGGTATATTCTAATCCAATGCCATGTCCTATCAATCCTAAAACTGTCTCCTCCACAAAAGTAGCATAGAAGTGAAAAGCAATGTGCCCAAACATTGTGCATCATGTACACATAGTGTGCCATAGTTTAAACATTTTAATGGCTATAAGGAACTTCATTTTTTTAATGTAGTTTTCCAGCCTTTAGTCACAAGATCCTTCCAATCTCCGGGTGGGATCCTTTGGTCTTGCTTAGTTAAGACGTTCCTCGCCCAAATATTTTCTGAACCCAAGATGTCAGATTGTTAAATGCCTGAGCAGCAGAAATTCCTGGTAATCCAATCCTTTGGATTTGCCTGAGTGTCTTAAAGTGTTTTGAATGCAAACACAAGAAGGAAGCAGTCACTTCTCCTCTTAAATCTTCTTAGGGTTTCCATTCTGCTGTGTGGCCTGAAAGGAGGGGGGGGAAAGAGGAAAGGGGGAGGGGGTCAAAAGGTTTTGGCCCAGCAGTAGAATTTGAGAAATAATCACCTTATGGACCCACTAAATCAATCATAATTAATGCACTTGGCTACTTCTGTCAGGGCCAGGGCTGCTGGAGGGCAAAATAAAGAAGCCCTTTCTAATACAATTTGAAAAGAGATCAAATCTGTCATTTCCTCAAATAATTGAGCCAAATGAGAGAAAAAAAGACAAAGGTCAGGGGTCGGCTGGTGACCTTATGTAAAACCCAATGATACATAATTCATTTTCATTTTATGGAATTTATAAGATGCTGTAAATGGCCAGAGAGAGGGAAACCCATCTGCGGTTGCTTGCACAAGTCACCATCTTTACCCCTGGAATTAACAGTGAAGGAATATATATATATAGGCACATGATGCATTCTTGCAGTGGGAATCTCGAAGCTTTCTGCAGGGACTGGTATTTAATTCATTCTTCCAAGCGTGTGAAGTTAATAACCGCAGTTCTTTGGGAATGATATAAAACCTGTAATTTATTTATTGAGTGTTACAAATACAGTTAGAGCATGTTTTCATGCAAAATGGATTTCCTTCTCTCTTTGATCATTGGCAAAAAGATAATAAGGGATTGGGGAGAAAAGAATACTGGATAAATACACGTGAACATAGACAAAAGTGAAACGGAATCTTTTTATATTACAAGGACCAGCTCGCATTTAAGATTCAATAGGCAAACATGTGCTTCCTGCAGGGATTTTTTTTCCATTTATGAAATGTTTGGAACATCCTTTAGGTTATTCCCAACAATACTGACTAAAGCAGAGTTTCTCAACCTTCCTAATGCTGTGACCCCTTAATACAGTTCCTCATGTTGTGTTGATCCCCAACCATAATATTATATATTTTTTGCTACTTCATAACTAATTTTGCTACTGTTTTGTATCGTAATGTAAATATCTGATATATAGGATGTATTTTCATTCACTGGACCAATTTTTACAAAAATACCTGATAAGCTCAAATGTGAACACTGGTGGAGTTTTGGAGATGTAGTTCACCTACATCCACAGAACACTGTGGGCTTAAACAATGATGGATCTGAACCAAACTTGGCATGAATACTCAAATGTGAAAACTGGGGAAATAGACCTTGACATTTGGGAGTTGTAGTTGCTAGGATGTATAGTTCACCTACAATCAAAGAGCATTCTGAATGATGGAATTGAACGCAACCTGGCACACAGAACTCCCATGACTGAGAGAAAATCCTGGAAGGATTTGGTGACCTTGAGTTTTGGAGTTGTCGTTCACCTACATCCAGAGAGCATTGTGGACTTAAACAATGATGGATCTGGACCAAACTTGGCACAAATATTCAATATGCTCAAATGTGAACACTGGTGGGGTTTGGGGAAAATAGACCTTGACATTTGGGAGTTGTATTTGCTGGGATTTATAGTTCACCTACAATCAAAGAGCATTCTGAACTCCACCAATGATGGAATTGAACCCAACTTGGCACACAAAACTCCCATGACTGACAGAAAATACTGGAAGAATTTTGTGACCTTGAGTTTTAGAGTTGTAGTTTCACTACATCCACAGAACACTGTGGGCTTAAACAATGATGGATCTGAACCAAACTTGCATGAATACTCAAATGCGAAAACTGGGGAAATAGACCTTGACATTTGGGAGTGGTAATTGCTGGGATTTATAGTTCACCTACAATCAAAGAGCATTTTGAACCCCACCAATGATAGAATTGGGTGAAACTTCCCACACAGAACCCACATGACCAACAGAAAATACTGGAGGGATTTGGGAGAAATTGCCAATGATTTAGGGGAGAGCATGCCTGCTCTTCCCCTCCCCACTTGGAGTCTCAGAAACAGCCCTCCCCTTGGCTGAGAGGCCGCCGGAGAGGTCAGCCAATCACAGCAGGAGGAGGGCTTTTGGTGGGAGGATTCTCTGTCTGTTTCCAAAAAGGAAGAGAAGGACAGGTGGAGAGATCTTCAGTCTTCTCTGCCAAAGGGGTTCCTAAGACCATCAGAAATATGTGTTTTCTGATGTTTTTTGGTGACCCCTCTGAAACCCCCTTGCGATCTCCCCAGGGGTCCCTAGAACATCCCCTAACTTTGCCAAAAGTTGGGCAAAGTTAGTTTCACTAAGGAGAACTGGTGATATCTCATGGAAGTACAGGAGGACAGCTAAAAATCAATGCAGGGTCAGTCCAATTTTAAGATTTGCTCTATCTTTTGAACCAAACAGATAACCCTATCCAGCCTCAAATGGTATGCCAATTGTTAGAAAGGAGAGATGCCCACCTGGCAACACAGGAATTGTAGAAAAAAAGTGAAACAAAAGGCTCTGATTTAAGTATGATTCTGCGTGCTCAGGTTCAGGCAAAGTCTGACTCCATAAGGCATTGTCCCCCTGCAACGCTGACACTGTTGGAACAAAATAAATAATAATTATGATTTATATAAGCTCTGATCCTGTTTCGAGAAATAAAATCAATTAGGGCAAAGGATTTATAGTTCTATATGCTTTAGAGAAGGACACTGTTATGACTGCAATAAATAAAGTATATGGTTAAATATAAGTTCAAAACTATCATGACTTAACCACTTCCTTGCTGTAATTTAGGTAGACGGCTTTTGTTTGTTTTTGCTGGAGTGAAGAAAAGCAAGTCAGTAGAGAGCCGTAAAGACAGAAAAGGAGCTCCAACTTTGACCTTCCAAAAGCATGGTTGCATCTTGGTCACTATTTTCAACACTTAATATAATGTCTATGGTTGTCAGAGCATAGAAATCATTCCTGTTATGTTGTCTTCTTTAGCTATGTTTTCTACTATAGTAAAGGCTTTCCCCTGACATTAAGTCCAGTCACATCTGACTCTGTGGCATGGTGCTCCATTTCTAAGCCGAAGAGCTGGCCTTGTCCATAGACACCTCCAAGGTCATGTGGCCGGCATGACTGCAATTAGTGCCGTTACCTCTCTTCTATGGAGATACCATTATATTGCTAATGATTAGGCATGATTAGGTCCAGTTGGAATCTTCGTTATTTGGAATAAAGCCCCCTTCCCCTGGCCTCGGCTCAAGCCAGAGAAGCCAGTTATAAACCAGAGAAGAATGAATCAAATTTCCTCCCGTTTGCTTTTCCTGCTTCTGGCTCAAGCCAGAGACGTGAGTTGTAAACCAGAGAAGGGTGAAGTTCCTCCCATTTGCTTCACCTCCGCTTCTGGCTCAAGCCAGAGAAGCCAGTTTTAAACCAGAGAAGGGTGAATTTCCTCAGCTTGCTTTTCCCCACTCCTGGAGTAAAACAACTACACACATCCGGGCCTCCTCGGATGATCTTAAACTGTGAGGCAGGACATAAGGGAGATGCGTTCAGACAAGTAAGCTGGGCCAGAACCGTATAGGGCTTTATAGGTCAAAACCAGCACTTTGAATTGAGCATGGAAGTGGACCAGCAGTCAGTGGAGCTGGTATAACAAGGGGGTGGTATGCTCCCTGTATGTTGCTCCAGTTAGCAATCTGCCTTCTGCCTGTTGGACTAGTTGCAATTTCCGAACAGTCTTCAAAGGCAGCTCCATGTAGAGTGTGTTGCAGTAATCTATTTGGGATGTAACAAGAGCATGGACCACTATAGCCAGAACAGACTTTCCAAGGTATGGACACAGCTGGCGCACAAACTTTAACTGTGCAGAAGCTCCCCTGGCCACCACCGAAACCTGGGGTCCCAGGCTCAGCAATGAATCCAGGATCACTCAATTGAATGGCTCTCAATTGTTCAATGTTACCAGTATGTTGAATGCTGGTCAACCGAAGATGCCAACTGTTCAACTGAATACACAGTCAAATGTACATGCCCATTTGGGTACAATATGCAATGTTCATTCACATACAAAGCATATCTGTGCACAAGAACATTGCACGAGTAATGGCTCTTTTTTTCACAACCTTCAAAATGAACGTTGACAATACTCACTAGGTAGTGGTTCTCAACCTGTGGGTCCCCAGATGTTTTGGACTTCAGCTCCCAGAAATCTTAACAGTTGGTAAACTGGCTGGTATTTCTGGGAATTGTAGGTGAAAACACCTGGTTGAGAACCACTACACTAGGCAAATTTGTCCAGTTCTTACCATATAAGAATCACACACACATTAAGGTATAAATAAGATTCTGGTCACTGATGATTTTGTTATAGTAAATCATAACAGGATCAAGTATGTGTGTGTGCATGTGTGATGAATCTAACCTTTTGCCAGGAAGGCTGAAGCCTGGAAAGTCAGTAGCTGACATGTTCAGAGATAGGCAGGAGAGCTAAGAGGCAAGAGGGAGGAGTCAGCCGACTCCTGATTGGCTAGAGCAGTCAGGGGAGGAGTTAGGTTTTAGAGGGAAAAAAGGCTGTGTCTTTTTGACAGGCTGGGAAAGAGAGCTTTAAACATCGTAGAGTGAAGAAGTATTTTAGGAAGAGGGAGCTGAGAGGAATTTAGACAGGGAGAGAGAACTTTTGAAGTGACCCTTGTAGTTAGAGCATAGGAAAGGCAAAGGTTCCTGGTTCACTGTGCATAGAAGGGTCAGTGAAGGAAAGCCTCTTTTGCTCTGTGAGGCAGTCTATGGGCTGTTCTCAGAGACATACTGTGTCAGTGTAAGGGTCAGTGTGAAGCAAGGAACTCACAGGAAACAAAAGTTAAAGTCTTAAAGAAAGACTGTTTGTCTAAACCAGCTAAGCCTCTGAAACGCATTAAGCTTTTGTACCACTCTTATTAAGAGTTGATTTGTTCACCAAGTTTAAAATAAACCTGTTTATAATTTCATTTTTAAACTAGTGTCTGCCTCGGTCTGTCACTCTCAATAGATCTCAGCAAGTCTAAAGACAACTTAATTTCAGTCCAGTCAGCGAAAGAAGCAGTCTCTGAAGAAGAACAAAGGGCTTGAAAAACTTTACCTATTTCACACTCACACGCTTGTTTTCCTCAGACATATATTGAGGTGGTGGCGGCGAATCTACCAAATACATCGGTCAATAACTACATCACAGTTGGTCACTTAATAAATATATTATTGAGGTGGGATAAGAGAGTCTTTCCCCGTCGTCTTAGTCAATTATCTTTGTTAAAGTAGTGTCCAGCTGAACGTTTATCTCCTTTACACTGGTGGGCAGCGGTGGGATTGTTTGTCCCCTCTGCCCTAAGTTGACGTTGATCTTTATTACAGCATGTTTTAAAGAAAACCTTATGTTGTTAATTATTATGTGCAGCTGCTAATGTAGGTCAATTAGTAAGTTTGGGCTACACCCGGTGGGGTATAACTGTATGGATTTTAGAATACAGTTCAGCTTTTGCTCTGAGGAGCCTTTGCTCAGGCATTTTGCTCAACCATTTCTACTGCTCTCTCATTTGGATGAAGATGAAGAAGCCTTATTCTGTATTGCTTACAAAGACTATGTAAGTTTGTTGCACTGTTTATAACATTGCAAGTTTATATTTTAATTCTGCTAATAAGAGTAAAGTTTTTCTGTTTTTTTCCACTTACATGGGTGCAACGTTATTGTGTCTTTTGCATTGGACTTGACTGAAATATGCTTAGCGCAACAGATTTCACAGAGCATGACACACAAAGAACAAAAAACCTAACTGGTGCCCTTTGATGGCTAAATATTCACCTAAACTGACTTTTTCTACCTGTATCATAAGATCATTAATAGCCACACAGAACAGGTTTCCATTGAACAATTCTCTCCCTTTTCTGCATTCCTTATAGGATCTTAATTAAAGGCAAAAACACCCATCCCTTTTCAATATATAATCAAGGAATTGGGTAGTTCAATCAAAATTTATACCATCAGCTGTCAATAGTATGACCGCAAGGCCTCAGAATTATGTATCTTTGATTATGTGCACATTTAACCTTATATACAGAGGGCTTATTTCATTATCCAAAGGAAGAGCCCAGATAAAAGAAAATGAGTTTCATTCATAAAATGTCAGTAACGGGTTGTTGTCATTCCTCCCACTCCTTCCCTCCCTCTGTTGCTAATGATGAGTTTAATTTTTAATGGAAAAGCATTGCTGGCACAATTAACACTCAATTTACATGTGCATCGAAAGAACCAATTAATTAAATTTTATTGATGCCTAGTTGCTCTTTAAAATGTTTTCCAAATGCCTCCAAACAGATCTCAAATTGTTAATACGAGGAGGCAGTGTATAATGTTTACTCATGGAGCATCCATCATACCAGGGCATACTCATCCCAGGACAAAGTTGCTGTTATATCATTCCAAACATGTTCATGAATATAATAAGGATTGATCCTTGGTATTCTTCATGTTAGTAACTAGGATGTGCAAGTCTGTTAAACTCAAGCTCATCAAGTTTTTGCCCTGAAGCTTATTCTTCATCCCAGGGCCCTTCCACACAGCCCTATATCCCAGAATATCAAGGCAGAAAATCCCACGTTATTTATTTATTTATTTATGACATTTATATGTCACTCAGAGCGGGACTCAGAGCATCTTACAAGATATATATACATAGAATATATTATATTATTAGCATAGCACAATATCAGTATTAAATATTACTATATTGTACTATACCATTATATTGTAATATTATTAGTAATATTACACCTATATAAATAAAAATGTCATGTTCGTTTGTGGGATTAACAGAACTCAGAAACCACTAGACGAATTGACACCAAATTTGGACACAAGACACCTAACAACCCAATGTAAGTCCTTCACTTAAAACATTGATTTTGTCATTTGGGAGTTGTAGTTGCTGGGATTTATAGTTCACCTACAATCAAAAAGGATTCTGAACTCCACCAATGATGGAATTGAACCAAGCTTGGCACACAGAACTCCCAGGACCAACAGAAAATACTGGAAGGATTTGATGGGCATTGACCTTGAGTTTTGTAGTTGTCATTCACCTACATCCAGAGAGAACTCTGGACTCAAACAATGATGGATCTGGACCAAACTTGGCACGAATACTCAATATGTCCAAATGTGAACACTGGTGTGGAGTTTGGGGGAAATCGACCTTGACATTTGGGAGTTGTAGTTACTGGGATTTATAGTTCACCTACAATCAGAGAGCATGCTGAACCCCATCAATGACAGAATTGGGGCAAATTTCCCATGAAGAACAGAAAATACTTAAGGCCATCCAGTCCAACTCCCTTCACCAGGACAAGAAAATGTAATCAAAGCCCTCCTGACAAAGAGCCATCCAGATATAGATATAGATATAGATATAGATATAGATATAGATATAGATATAGATATGATTCACACAAAGATATAGTATCATAGATTTGAAAGGGACCCCTAAAGAAGGACAATTATATGTTGCATGTTCCAGAGTAGGCAAACCAGACACTCTCCACATCAACACTGACAAAGAAACAGCAAGAAATACTGTTTACCCACAAGCATAAAGAAATTACATTAGAAACCAACACCTTCTCATTACTTTATTTTCCAGATCACCAGACTGGTCCACAGCAACGTGTGGCAGGGGACGGCTAGTCATAATATAAACTTTGAAGGGGCTATCCAAGGTGCTGGAGCTCAAGTCTCAAAACAGGTTCCACAACTTAGAATGGGGATCTACACTGTAGAATGGATCCATTTGCAACCACTTTAACTGCAAAAGCCTATAAAATCCTGACATTTGCAGGTCAAGGAGGGACATTTAGAATTCTCAACCATGAATTCAGTAGCATTTGCTCCAAGTAAGTATCTATTGGATCCTGGACAAAGCAGTGAAAAATCACACGGATAATTAAAATGTTTCTGAATGGTTCACATCAGTGGCATCATTAGGGGCTGCAGGGGATGTGAACCACACCAAGTGGCACCATCAGTGAAGAGGACACCAAAACAAGATAGAAAACAAAAAGAAAAAAGCAAAAAGCCCAAAGTGCAAAAGCATAACAAAAAAATTACTAAAAAAAAAAAAACAACAAAAAAAATAAACTAAAACAAAAAAAAAAAACATCAAAAAAAAGAAAAAAAAAAGAAAGAAGAAAGAGAAAAAAAGAAAGAAAGAAAGGAAGGAAGGAAAAATTGAAAAGAAAGGAAGGAAGGAGAAGGGAAAAGAGAAAGGAGAGAGAGAGAAAGAAAGAAAGAAAGAAAATAGAAATAAATAATAATGAAAAAAGGGAAAGAAACAAAAAAAAAGAAAACAAAAAAAAGTATAAAAGATATATGGAAAAAAGAAAACAAAACCAACACAAAAAAAAAACCGAAAAAAGATAAAAAAAAAAAATAGAAAGAGAAAAAAAGAACAAAGAAAAAGAAATTAAAAGAAATAAAAATTACAAACAAAAAAAAAAAAAGAAAAAGAAAAAGAAAATAACAAGAAAAAAGAAAAAATATCACAAAAAAAATAAAAAATAAAAATAGGAATACAGCCAAAAAAAAAAAGCAAAACAACAATTAATTAGAATGATCACACAATCGACAGTAAAAAAAAAAAAACAAAAGAAAGAACCAAACCCAAAAAACAAAAAACTAAGAAAAAAGAAAAAAAACAAATAAATAAAGAACTAAAAGCAAAAAAGTAGAAAACAAAAAAACACATATAAAAAATAAAAACAAAAAAATAACACAAAACAATAAGCAAAATAAAAAACAACGAAATAAATAGGACAACATGTATAAGAAAACAAAAAACAAAAATAACAGCACAAAAGAAACATCCTTAAAATGACAAAATAAAAAACAATCAAGAAAACAAAGGAAAATAAAAAAAAATCAAGAGAGGGGCCACAAAAATAAAAAAAAAACATTACAATACAACAACCCATCAAATCAATACAAAACAAGAAAAAAAAAAACAAAAACCACACCATCAGTGAAGAGGACACCAAAACAACTTTCTATTATTGTTAATAGAAATATCTCATTCAATCTAGTTTGCATGTGCTGCATCAATATACTTGCAAAACTGAAACTCTATGCTAATTTAGTTTGTACACCTTCTACTGCACATCTGCTCTGGACAGAGCTGACATTATTATCCAGCCTCAAAGATGTTTTGAATCTCATATTTTTGTCTGCATGAACCACATACATGTGCTGTTGAGGGCAGGAACACACACACACACACACACACACACTCTCCCTATGGCTCACATCCTAACAGTGGAAGATGATCATAAAGTTGTACTCAAGGATCTAGAACTTCCCAGAGAAGTGTTTCTAAGGAGGGGAGCATTTTAAAAACTCATGGTTTCAATAGGGATCCTGTGCCCCTAACCCCTGAAAAAGTGCAGGGACATCTATAGTATTCCCAGCTTATGCCAACCTAGCAGTTTGAAAACATGCAAATGGGAGTAGATCAATAGGTACCGCTCCAGCGGGAAGG